AGCGGGTGCGACTGTCAGCCATACACCTGGTGATAGGCTTCGTCAAAGTGAGTGGCCCTGCTTTGGGCGGTTCAGCCATCTGCAGTTCGTGGTCGTTTCTCTTTTCGGCGCAGCCTCAACCACCAGCCCTCGTCAGCACATTGCATCGTTGAGCCCCCGAACTGCGTGAGTCGGATACGATGTGCACGCACTGGCTACCGGCTGGAGGTGGCTCAGCCTCGCGAACGCACGCCAGCGGTCTTCCTCTACTGGATGGCGCTCTGACGCGGATCAGCCACACCTCAGCTCCAGTGAGCCTTGGTGAGTCAGGCCTCTTGCGCCGCACCATCGTTTACCTGTGGTGCTGCAGTGAGTCTGAGTTAGTCGCTCTCGCTCGCGCTCACCCCCCTCTTTTTCCGAGGTCATGGACGGCCTGGTTCTGCGTGCACGCACGTGGGCTTCGCCTGGTCATTGGCCATTCGGACCCGCGTGCTGCCTGCGTCGTTTACAGTGCCCCGCTGTCCGTCTTGGCCTCGCTTCTGAATGCGGTTCGGCTGGAGCTTGGCGCCGCAAGGGCGACTTCTCCTGTTCCGCTGCCGTTTGCCGCGCCTTCTGCTCCCCCACCAGCCGACGCTGTATTGCGTCTCAACGAGGGGCATTTTGTCCCTGGCATGTGCATGCGCCAGTGCGTGTGTTGTCCGCTGGAGTCTTCGGCAATCTCGCGCCAATTTACATCGCACCGCGCCCCGGACGTTGTGCCCGTTCCATGTCCCTCGCTTTGGAGCCGCGAACCAAAAAGTACCCCCACCAGCCCATCCAGAAACACTTGCCAGGGGAGTTGCCAGAACGAGGGCAATGTAGAAGCATGCAGTGGAACGGGCCGCCGTAGAAGCGTATTAGGAACGCAGAGATGGTGGGAATATGTATTGAATCATGTAACATGTTTCCCTGTTGCCCCAGCTTCAGATAGGTCTTATGCGATGAAATATGAGAGTTACCTTGCATTTCCCTACGGTACAAAAGGATTCTCCGGCACTTGATTCATGTTGCGTCCAGGACCGCTGGGAGCACTTGCCAGGCGAGTTGCCCGAATCAGGGAATTCGTAGAACCCATATTTGTTTTGAAGAGAGGGGTTCAAGTCTCCATACCCAGCTGAAGAGGCGTTCCCTCTTTGCGGGGTCTTCGCGGGGGGGGGTACTCTACAAAGACCCTGCAAAGACCTTGCAAAGTGGGCGTCTTGAGAACAGTTTTGGGGCTGTATTGGGGCGTATTGGAGGAATGTCGGAGGCTATCTTGAGCCACCTTCGGAGGTCATCTTGGGGGTTCTGAGGCACTCTCAGAGCCATCTTGGGCCACCTTGGGCGCTCTGGCCACTCCGCCTCCGCCCTCTCCCAGGTATAGGGGGGGCTAGGAGGAGGGGTCAAGCTACCCACCCGCCCGCAAGCCGTCTAGCTCACTCCCACCCGCCCTCCCAACACATAGCAACACCCGAGCCTGAGCATGTTCAGCTGTTTTTTTTTGATGGACAGCGACTGAGAACCAAAGCCGACCCCAGGTGCGCGACGTTTGCGCCACGCGCGCCAGGGGCGCCACGCGCGCCAGGCACCCGTGGGCCCCTTGCGTGCCAGGCACCCCTGGTGCGCCAGATGCGCCACGTGCTCCGAGTGCGCCAGGTGCGCCGCACACTCCAGCCGCGCCAGGTGCGCCACGTTCGGGGCACGTGCAGAGTGCGTCAGGTGCGCCTGCGCACGTGGCATCAAACATCGGGAAACATGTCGGCCCCACCATTCCTGTCGAAAACCAAAGCCCATCACTGTGTCTGGTGGGCCTGCGCAGGGCAGCCACGCGCCACCACCCCCGCGGTCCCTGTCAAAAACCATGCGACAGTGATCGCAGGATGCCCGCGCATGATCCAGATTTAGCCGCGAGGTGCATGTTGTATGTTATTGTTGGCAGGAATTGTAGCCTTGCGAGCAGCAGGGAATATGCTGACACCCCCGCCGTCCCTATCAAAAACAATACGGAATGGTCGCGGGCCTCACGAACACGACGCAAGACTTTGCCCCGAAGTGGACTGTGAATTGTTTGTTGACAGGGATGGTGGGGGGGGGGGGGGCGCATCGGGCTGGCCGCGCATACTCCAAATGTGGAGGCAGAGTGCGGTTTGTACTGGTTTTGACAGGGGTAGTGGGGGACTGGTCGTCATGGTGTCCTCATGGTTCTTGGTTGGACGCTGATCGCCTGGGGGAGGGAGTGTATACTACAAATAAAAAACAGTGATCGAGGCCCCCCCCCTTCGCCCGCAAGCCGTCTGCCTCACTTTCACCCGCACTCCCAACACATAAGTAACACCCGATGGAGCCTCTGTTGATTGATTCGGAACGCCACGCGTGCCATGTGCGCCACGGGTTCCAGGTGCACACGCCCCCCGGAGGCCCAAACGAGCCAGGCGCGCCAGGTGCGGTACGTGCTCCACGCTTAAGCAATGTGCTGACACCCCCGCCGTCCCTATCAAAAACCAATTAATGCAAAGTGATCGCGGGGCGCCCGCGCATGCTCCAGACGTGGAGGCAAAGTGCAGTTTGCATTGTCCTCTCGACAGGGATGGTTGGCCTGCGCGCAGCGAGGAATATGACGGCACCCCCGCCATCCCTGTCAAAAGACAATGCAAAGTGGTCGTGGGGCGTCCGCGCACGCTCCAGATGTGGAGGCAAAATGCATGCTGCATAGTTTTGACAGAGAAGGTTGGCTTGCGCGCAGCGAGCTATGTGACGGCACCCCCGCCGTCCCTATCACAAACCAATGCAAAGTGGTCGCAGGGCGCCCGCGCAAGCTCCAGATGCGGAAGCAAAGTGCAGTTTGTATTGTTTTTTGGGCAGGGATGATTGGCTTGCGCGCAACGAGCAACATGACCGCGAGCAGAGTGAGCCCCGCCAGCTTCTACCAGCATGGGGTGGCCGACTGCACGGTTTTTGCGTCGTCCGGTTCGTCGGCAGAGTGGCGCCAGCATCGCAGACGGAGTCCAAAACCGGTGGGGAGTGGCCGATCCAAAGAGAAGGGGTCTAGTGCCGTTGCGGCCGCGTCCCGCCCAAGCACCACTGCCAAGCTACAGTTTCCATCACCCTTCCTCCTCCATCCAGTTGGGTTCTTATTTTGAAGTGAGCATTCCTCCTTCTGCCGCCTCCATCCTCCTCTCTCCTCCTGCCTTCAACTAACTACCTGTCTCCTACCTCGGCATGCCTGGGGGGGGCTGCGAAGTGTGAATTGCAGCCACTTTTGAGGGCTGCTGGGGGTCCAGCATAGTAGGGCCCTGCGACGATCCAGATTAGACCTCGCCATGCTGGCAGGGCTGCGGAGTGTGAAACTGTCGCCACTTTCGATGGCTGCCGGGAGGTCCAGCATAGTGGGGCCCTGCGGGCATCCAGGTAGAACCTCGTCATGCCTGGGAAGGGTGGGGAGCGGGCCATCTGTGGAGCGCCGCCAGTTTCCAGGATTGCATGGGGGTCCAGCATAGTGGGGTCCTACGGGGATCCAGAAGTGACCTCGCCATGCCTGGGGGGGCGCGAAGTGTGAATCTGTCGCCCCTTGAGGGGCTTGCCGCGTGATCCAGCATGGTTTGGTCATACGAGGATCCAGATTGGACCTCGCCATGCATGGGAGGCTGCGAAGTGTGAAACGGTCGTCACTTTCGAGAGATGCCGGGGGGGTCCAGCATAGTGGTGTCCTACGGGGATCCGGACTAGAACTCGCCATGCCTGGAGGGCTGCGAAGTGTGAAACTGTCGCCACGTTCGGGGTCTGCGTCCGCATGGACGAAAACAGAACCGTGTCTTTCGGCCGAAAGATTGCGAAACACGGCGTCAACATCGACGCTTCGGACGCGGGGCGGCTTGGTCCACATCGGGCCGCAGACCTCGAGCCTGGTAGGTCTTCGCAAGCACATGGTTACGCGCGAAGGCCTGGCCATCTCCCATGCCCAGGTCGTGACCCTCACGGCCTGCCCGGGCCGGATCATGCACGGCGGAGTCGTCGTCGACGTTGGGTGCAAAGACGCGGACGGCGTGGAAGCGTTGCTGTTGCTCGGACGTGGCCAGGACGAGGATAAATCCGCCCCAGCGCGTCCAGTAACGTTTCCAGGTCGTTGGGGGACGCTTTGAGAAGGCCGCAGCGCCCAAAACATCCTCCCGAGCCGCCAGATCTCAGAGATGTTCGATTTATCCTCACCCGAATTTGACCTCGTCCTGGCTTCGTCTCAGTTGCATCTTTATGTGGTGCTCTCCAGGGCCACGGTGATCGGTCGTCTCTTGGCAATACGGGACCCGCGCCTAGCGTCCGTTTCCCGCGGATCGCCCGCGGACCTGGCGGCGCGCTTGCGCGTTGTGTAAAGTTCCCGCGCGCTGAAAAGTGCAGGCGCTGGGGCCGGGCGGCTGGCAGGGCAGCTCGGCTTCGCGCAGTGATTGCACCGACCCCATAAACAGCCGTTGCCGGAATGCCGCTGCTCATGGCTGACAGTGGGAACGGTGCCCCTTGCTGCCCTCTTCCTCATTTGACGTCGTCAGTTCCCTTTTGCGTACCTCTCCCCACATTCCTCTTGCGTCTCCGGGTCGTTCCAGCCGGTTCCTCTTTCGGACCTGGGGTGTTCTCCCGCCCGTCCCGCCTTCGCCCTGTTATCTGTGTCCGGTGTTGTGGTTCAGTCGTTGTAGGTGGGTTGGGCACGTCGCGGGGTAATTCCCATGCCGTTGCGCCCCTCCTCCCGGCACCCCCCCCTCACAGTTCATCAGCCCTCGCAACCGCCCGCTCCCTGACATTCACCCCATTTGCCCACCACTTCCTAAGACCCCCCACTTCCGCAGCCTATATCGCCCCCCCATCGTTGCTCCATCTCCCCATCGTTCCTAATTTTTTCTCCGCGTCGTTCCTTGCCCTCCTCGTTGCTACTCAATCAGCTCCGCCTCTTCCCAACACTGGTCATCGGATCGCTTCATTGCCTGGGGGTGCGGGCTGCCCGCGGCACCCCCCAGGACGAGCAGTCTCTGGAAGACACGAACACGGAGTGCCACCTGAAGTCGGAAGAGTTCGAGAAAAATCAGGCGCCCCTTGGCGCAGTCAACCGCCAGAGTACGGCGGGTTCACGCCGCCTCGACGCAGCGAGGGCGACGACGCAGCGATCCCGATCTGGGCCGCCGGGCCGACGACAAAACAACCCACAGCCTCGAACCCACACGGACGGTGGGATCCATTGCTCTTGGGGGCGTCCGACAGTGGAGAAGCTTGCGCAAGAGTTGAAAGGTTCTTCGGTGTCAGACTGTCAGGGCCACGTCGTCAATGCTGGAACTTTCCGCGTCATACTTCTTCACTTGCTCTTAACGGCATCATGTCTATGTTCTCAAGAGGTGCACGACATTCCGCCGACCCCGTCCGCTGTTGCTAGGGCGAAGTCAAGACAAATGATTTTCCCCCGCCCGCCCGTCCAGCGGTGGCTCGATGTGTCCCGCAGTGTCCCGTGGTGTCCCGTTGAGTGATATCGACATTGAGATCGATATTGAGATCGATGTGGTGCCCCGAGGTGTCCCGTGGTGTCCCAAAAAGTGAGATCGATAGAGATCGATAGTGAGATCGACAGGTGTCCCGTGGTGTCCCATTGAGTGAGATCGATAGTGAGATCGATAGTGAGATCGATGTGGTGTCCCGTGGTGTCCCAAAAAGTGAGATCGATAGTGAGATTGACAGGTGTCCCGTGGTGTCCCGTGGTGTCCCGTTGAGTGAGATCGATAGTGAGATCGATAGTGAGATCGATGTGGTGTCCCGAGGTGTCCCGTGGTGTCCTATGGTGTCCCGTTGAGTCAGATCGATAGTGAGATCGACAGTGAGACCGATAGTGAGATCGAGAGGTGTCCCGCGGTGTCCTATGGTGTCCCGTGGTGTCCCGTTGAGTGAGATCGATAGTGAGATTGATAGTGAGATCGACAAGTGTCCCGTGGTGTCCTGCGGTGTCCCGTTGAGTGAGATCGCCAGTGAGATCGATTGAGTCCGATGTTGGTTCCCCACTCTACCCCCCCACAACCTCCTTATCACCCGAAGGGTGGTCGTATAGGTAGTACCATGGAGCAATATACGTTTGATGATTTGAGATGTCCCGGCTCACTTCTGGGACATATTTGGATTTTCTTGGGGCGTTCTTGGGGCCTCTTGAGTTCTTCTTTGGGCTCTTTTGGGCGTGCCTGAGCTCTCCTGGGGCGTCTTGGAGGGCATCTTCAGCATTTTGGAATCGTCGGGGGGGGATCTGCAGACTGTGAGGGCCCTAGAACTGCGTAGAGGATTTGTGTGCCTCCCCCCCCTCAAACGTGGGGAGGGGGAACCAGGGGACGGTCAAATGTCTCACACGTTTTCCTTACCCCTGGCAAGTGGGAGTTGGCGGACTCTGGTGGTCGATTGAAGTTCCTTGCCCCTCTCCCTCGTGGAGTCTCTCACCTCCCCCCTCCCTGCCACCCCGGCCGCCGAGGGAGCGCCCCAAAACCCCGCGCGAAACGCCTAACGCCTCGCCAGCCAAGCGCTCAGCGTTTCACATGGGTCTTTGACGTCCCCCGGCGGCGCCTCCGGCGGTCCCAGGGCCCCTGTGGCCACCAAGCCCCCAGCACAGTGAGGCGTCCCGGCCAGCCCGAGGGACACGAAGCGTCCCGGGCGCTGTTGCACGCGCGAGGGCAGTTGCTTGGCGTGTTGCTGCAGCTGCGCCTGCTGGCGCAGGACTGCCGCCGCTGCCCGCGCCTGCGCGGCGAAGTCCGCAGCAGGCGCGCGTGTCCCCAAGGGAAGTAGCGACAGAGCGCTCAGTCTTACGAATGGATTCGAAAGCCCCGTAAGCATTTTTTATAATCTCGAGAGGTCTCAGATCGGTCTCCTACTCGACCTATGACTAATCAGCTAATCTCACTCTGCTATAACGAATGTCGACTTAGGAAATCTCGTCATGCAGGTCCTCCGTGACCCCTGGGGTCCGGCCAGGCTGGGTGTCCGCCAGTAGGCCAGGTGGTATCAGGGCCGCCTCACTCGCTGGGGCGAGGGGCCCCTGGCGGCAGTGCACCTCCGAGGCGCTGTGGGTGCTGCGCTGCGCCAGCGTCGCCACCTGGTCGCGCGAGGGTGGAGGGCCCCGCCACGGACGGCGGGAGCGCTTCGGAGGTGCCCGCTTCTGGCACTCCGGGCGGTCCCCGCCATGGCGTCTGCGTCTGCGGCGGAGCGGGGCAGGGGGCAAGGCGAGGTTCCAGGCCTTCCAGATGGGGTCCGAGTAGATCGGGTCGAAGGATCGCGCCGCATCGCCGATGCATCGACGATGCGGCTCGATGTGGAGCCCGATGTTCCTCACGCCGGCGTCGCGGATGCGTCGCCGACATCGCCGATGCATCGACGATACATCGGCGATGCATTGGCGGTGCGGCGCGATCCTTCGACCCCATCTGCTCGGACCCCATCTGGGAGGCCTCTAGAGCTGGGCATCCTGCAAGCCCCCCGGCGGCTGGGTCCAGCCCCCAGCCCATCCCCCCAGCCGCCCCCCGCCCCCAACCTCTGGCGGTTGCGGAGCAGTAGGGCTGGCCATGTGGACAGGGCAGGTGGGACGGCCCAGGAGGGAGGAGGGAGGGAGGAGGAGGAGGGAGGAGGAGGAGGAGGGAGGAGGAGGAGGAGGAGGAGGAGGGAGGAGGAGGAGGAGGAGGAGGAGGAGGAGGAGGAGGAGGAGGAGGAGGGAGGGAAGAGGGAGGACGGAAGATGGAAGAGGGAGGAGGGAAGACGAAGGCCACAGGCGGGAAGCGGGAGGAGGGAGTGGGGAGCGATGATGCGGACAGGAGGAGAACCGTGGGAGGATGAGGATGGTGCGTTGGAGAACATCCGAATAGCTTTCAAGCAGGAGATAATGTCGGTGAGCAGGAGGAAGGAAGGGCGAGGGCGGAGGAGTGAAGGGCCCCACCCAGGTCCTCACTTCGCATATTTCCGCGGGTCGGTCGTCCCATCCTCACCGCTCCCAGGGGGGAGGGGTTGCGGGAGGGGAAGGCCTTGCGGACGGCTGGCCAGGAAGCAGGCAGGGAGGGATGGCGGGGCGCGGCGCATCGGACGAGCGCGCAGGTGATCCGTGCAGAGGAGGTGAAGGCCATTAAGGGAGCGATGGACATCTTGAGCAGCGAAGCCCTCGGCAGCTACTTCCTTCCCAGCACTTCCTCCCGCCCTGTCTTGTGGCGCAGAGAGATTAGAGATATGGTCGGCCTCGTGTGAGAAAGAATGACAGTGGTCGCACTACGAAGTCATTGCCTGGTTCAGCTTTCAGCTCGCAGAACGGTGGACGCCCACCGACTGTGCAGTTGAGGAGACTCTCTGGCGTGCCAGTCGCGGTGTAAACAAAACAAATTGGTGTGCACCGAAATTCTGGGACCCACACAATCCCCCTTCTTCCCCGTCTCTTTCAGACACCACGGCCAACATGCAGCGTAAAGTCCAGTCGTGAGGTAGCCACAGGCGCCCTTGACCATTACGAGTCGTTGCAAGAGAACACACGTTCCCGTCCAAACCACCCACGGTTCTTCCACTGCGCTCCCCCGCCAGATTGTTTCATGTCGGTGTTCAGGTATCGCCGCGTTTTCCATGGCTGGCGTTCATTACAAGAGCACCGATGTGAAACCACAAACTCGTACGGCGTGTCCTGCATTGGAGCGTGGAGTCGTGCAAGTGCCCAACGCAGATGGCATAGGCACTGCCCTTTCACACCATACTGCATGTGAAGAGCATGGTCACTGTAAATTATGGAAGCAGATACGTTGATAATCGCATTCAGTGGTCATCCGTGATATTTCTAGCGCGGTGTGTTACTCACAGATGGTACGTCGATCCCAAGCTCGACCACAGAGTGTGTCATTGTCAACATGACCTCGGGAAGCGCACATGAGCAGCAGCAGGCGAAGTAGCGGGAAAGGGAACGGCCACACGAGCCGGAGGAGTGGCGCATGAAACGGACGGACGAGGAAGAGAAGGAGGGCGAGTTCCCCGGGCGACGAAGGGAGGGAGGAGCGAGGAGCGAGGAGGAGCGAAGGGCGAGGAGGAACGAACGGGAGGAGGACGACGAGGAATGAGGGTGAGCAGAAGCAGGGGGATGAGGAGGAGATGGGAGGGCGAGGCACATGCTGGCGGCTGTTACAAGGGCCCCGACGAGGACGCGAAGCTATTCGTGGTTCGCGGTTCGCCGTCTGGGCCGACGACGGTGGTTGGGCCCCCCCCAAGGGGGCGGCACGAGAGCGCGACGTGATTAGCATTTCGCGCAGCGCGAAGCGCGAACCAAGGAGCCCCATGCTGCGAGGGGCGGAGGGTGGAGGGATTTTCGTCCCGTGCCTCCCACTCCCGCCGTTTTCCGGTGAAGCGCTCCGATCGCCATGCGGGGAGCGGGTCCTGAGGGAGACGGGTCCTGAAGTGGTTCGCCGTTGTTTGGCTCTCGGGGCCTTCCTCGGGCCTTGGGACTGTCAGAAAACGATCCGGGATGAAGAGTTCGTCCTGTGGGAAGGCCCCGGGGTCTAGGACCCGTTTGCGTCAGGACTCGTTTCCCCCACGCGAATTCGAGAGCCACGCCGACGGAAGCACGGGACGCGCGCGGGCCGAGCGAGCGGATCACAAGCGTGTCTCGGTCTGTTTCTGCGCGCGAGCCCGGGCTGCAGGCGGGTGAGACTCGACCGAAGAGTCGGAGAGACACTGGAAGGGAAGAGGAGGGTTGCGGGGGGTCGACGGGGAGTCGGAGGGGGTTCAGGGAGCTTCTTCCCTTCCCGCGACGCCCCTCTCCCCTCCCTTCTTCCGCACTCTCTCCCTCGTTGCCCTCCTTCTCCCTCTTCCCCTGCCCCGTCTCCTCCTTCCCGCTCATCTTCCGCATCCCCTGTCCCCATCCCTCCTGCCTCACCGATTTGCGATGTCGCTGTGGTCCCCTTCAGCCCCTGCTGCACGACAGTGTCTTGGAAAGAACCTTCCCCGCTCTTATCCTTTCCGTGCCACCTCCCCCTCCTTCCCCCCTCCCCCTTCCTCCTCCCCCTGCCTCCCCCCTCCTTCCGTCCCTCTTTTCCCGCTCACTCCTTCCCTCCCCGATTCCCCTCCCGCATCTGTCCCTCCTCTCTGCCCCATCCTCCTCGTCCTTCCCTCCTCCCTATACCTGGGCCGAGCGGCAGGGGGGCCATCGAGTCCGAGTGCGGACCTCGCCCGAGTCCCGCCGCCCCCGTGCGGCTGGAGGTGTCGCGAGAGATTGCCGTGTTCGGGGGCTGGCCTCAGTATCGTTTGACCGATCCCCGTCCCCGTGCTCATCCCCTTCGAGATCCCCACCAAATTATACCCCCAGTGGGGGATACACCCCTCGAAACGCGAAGGGTACGGCCTATATCCCCATCTAGGGGGGTAAATCGTCCAGCGGGGCCCAGACCACGCTGGTGGGGATGGGGATCGGTTAAACGACACTCATGGCCGGTCCCCTGCTCACGGTATCCAGCAGGGGCAACGATAGGGGGGGGATAGGCATAGGGGGGATGAATCGACCCCCAATCGCCCATTGATCGCCGAGAGGGGCCCGATAGTCCCAACCTGCCCAGGAAGGCGCGGATTCACCATCGGAGGCCTGTCGCCGATCTATCGGCGACGCATCGCCGATTCCATGTCGATGCATCCCCCCCTATGCCAGTCCCCCCCTATCGTTGCCCCTCAATCCAGGTCTGGTTGCCTGACGTTTTCGCTCCGATTGGCCTTCGTCAAGATGCCGACGTGCGGGTCGGCCTTGCTCTATTCCAGCCGCAACTTTCGCGCGGGGGGAGGGTGAGGAGGAGGAGGAGGAGGAGGGCGCGCGCGGGAGGGCGCGCAGACAACGGATGAGAAGGAGGAGGATGAGGACCAGCGTAAACCCAAGACGCACCAACGATGTTGCAATAAACCCTCCCTCCAAGCTCCCTCTCAGAGGTCCCTGCAAGAAATTATGTTCATTGTGGGGAGCGCCCCAACGGAAGACAACAGTCTGAGAATCCTCAGTCGCGCCGAAACAAATCCTGAGACTTCAGCGCCGCGAATCAATGTGATTGTTGCGCCCTGACAGTCCTAAACCGGGCGAGAACACCATTCTTGGGCCCAACCATACGAATCCTTCAACATGTAGCAAATGTTCAACACGAATTTGCGCGGCGCTCAGGCGAGAGCAACATTTTGAAAAGGAGCCGCCCTCCATCCTTGAAATTGCTGCAAACCTTGAAAACGAATGTGTGCGGCTCTGAGGCGAGAACCACATGTGCTGGGCGCTGCACCTGTGGGAGTGTGGAGGTGCACATCGGCTCCAGGGGCAAGATGCCTGCCCAGACCTCCGACGTGGCGATGTTCCCGTGACCCTGCCCCCGGGACCGGTTCTTCCGTTCCGGGTTGGTTTGGGCCAAAGGGCTAGAAGGCAGCCCGCGGAAGCCAGTTACGGTGGAGGCTAACAATCAGCAAACGCTTCCCAAAAATTCCAAGTTACCAAGCGCGGGGAAGACTGCAGTCGAAGTGCAACTCACTAAACCAGCCGCCAATGTTTGACCATGGGGAGGGGCATTCTCAGATGAATGCGGCATGAGTGCTCGCTGATTTCTTCCGTGGCCTGGTAGTGGAGGAGAAACGCCAGGCCCTAACAACTACAACAATAACGTTGGAGGCCATCGGGTCCCTCTTTTCCCTCCTCCTCCCTCGCCATATGATGTTCCAACTTACTTCAGCCTTGATCACCAGGAAGAATTTCGAGCACCGAGAAAGTACGGAAACTGGCGGGGGTTTCACGTGTGGGGCCTTGGGAGGCGATACTCGTTGGACACTGCTTCGATACTCTTCTGGGTGCTCGAAATCATTTCGGGGATGTGGCCCTGAAGTACAATGAGAGAGCATCACATCCCTCGCTTCCCTCACTGAGGCGAGGCTGTAGCTGGCGCGGGCGAGAAGCACCTGCCGGCGCTGCTGCAGGGCAGGCGCAAGCCGAAGGCTTGGGGGGACGCGCGCGGCGCTGTCTGGGAGCGGCACGGAACGGACTTCTCATGGCGCCAACTTTGCAGAGTGGATTTCGTTCGGAAGGCAATGGGATGGGCCCGGAGCGTCCTGGAGAATGTCTTCGAGAATAGTGTCGTGTGGGTTTCCTTATTTGGCCAGGAATGACGACTAAACTAAATCCACGTGAAATGCATTTCGAGGTTCGCTCTCCGTTCGGGGTCTTGCATTGGCAGAGATCCACGCAAAAATCCGCTGCAGCACGTCTGCAAGGTCTGCGCAGTGAGAATTCCCGAGGAGGCGCAAGCATGGATCAAGGCGCGTGGACCAGCGACGGGCCCCCTTTCCACACGAAGTCGGCACGCTACGTCGCCACGTCAGATGGCACTGGCCTCATGTCTCGGGGGGCCTTTCCCGGTTCCGCGGATCTGGCACCGGCGTGCCAGGTATGAACGGATCCTTGATCAGGGTAGTGAGCGTGTGCGTGCCAGAAAGTCGGGGACGGCCACGGGTGGTGGGGAGTCGAAGGAGGACAATTTGCATGAAGATGCAGTGGAGACCCATGCTAAGAAACACCCTGCTTGCCTCCAGGGTGCCCTGGGTTTCCCGGGCTTCGTTGTTTTTTCACTATGGAAAGCGTGACGCTCCCACACCAAAAAATAGACGTCCCGGGGTCTCAGGGTTGGGTTTCTTGTGGAAGGTTTCTTGTGGTCGACCCCCCTCTAGATGCTTGTCTGACTTCCGCGCCGATCTCTTGGAACGGCGCTGGGCCCCCCTTGCGGTGCCTCCAGCTCCGGCGCCGCTCCTGGCGCGCTCCCGCGTGCCAGGGAGGAGAGCCTGGTGCTGATCCAAGAGATCCGCGTGGAGCTCAGACAGTTGAAGCTTGGTTTTTCCCAACCATCCTGTGGTGTTGGGTCCTCGTTTTGAAGAGACAGCGCCCCGCGTCCACTCCTCCCGCTGCCCCCTTCCTCCTCATCCGTGCGTTTCACCCACCGCTTCGTGGCCCCATAGGGAGCTCCACCGAAGGCCCCACTGGCAGGGTTCGCATGGCGGCCTCGGGCCATTTCGGCACACCCCTCACGAAGATCGTGGCCCCATAGGGAGCTCCACCGAAGGCTCCAGTGGCAGGGTTCGCATGGCGGCCTCGGGCCATTTCGGCACACCCCTCACGAGGATCGTGGCCCCATAGGGAGCTCCACCGAAGGCTGCAGTGGCAGGGTTCGCATGGCGGCCTCGGGCCATTTCGGCACACCCCTCACGAGGATCGTGGCCCCATAGGGAGCTCCACCGAAGGCGCCAGTGGCAGGGTTCGCATGGCGGCCTCGGGCCATTTCGGCACACCCCTCACGAGGATCGTGGCCCCATAGGGAGCTCCACCGAAGGCCCCAGTGGCAGGGTTCGCATGGCGGCCTCGGGCCATTTCGGCACACCCCTCACGAGGATCGTGGCCCCATAGGGAGCTCCACCGAAGGCTCCAGGCAGGGTTCGCATGGCGGCCTCGGGCCATTTCGGCACACCCCTCACGAGGATCGTGGCCCATAGGGAGCTCCACCGAAGTGGCAGGGTTCGCATGGCGGCCTCGGGCCATTTCGGCACACCCCTCACAGGATCGTGGCCCCATAGGGAGCTCCACCGAAGGCGCCAGTGGCAGGGTTCGCATGGCGGCCTCGGGCCATTTCGGCACACCCCTCACGAGGATCGTGGCCCCATAGGGAGCTCCACCGAAGGCGCCAGTGGCAGGGTTCGCATGGCGGCCTCGGGCCATTTCGGCACACCCCTCACGAGGATCGTGGCCCCATAGGGAGCTCCACCGAAGGCGCCAGTGGCAGGGTTCGCATGGCGGCCTCGGGCCATTTCGGCACACCCCTCACGAGGATCGTGGCCCCATAGGGAGCTCCACCGAAGGCTCCAGTGGCAGGGTTCGCATGGCGGCCTCGGGCCATTTCGGCACACCCCTCACGAGGATCGTGGCCCCATAGGGAGCTCCACCGAAGGCGCCAGTGGCAGGGTTCGCATGGCGGCCTCGGGCCATTTCGGCACACCCCTCACGAGGATCGTGGCCCATAGGGAGCTCCACCGAAGGCCCCAGAGGCAGGGTTCGCATGGCGGCCTCGGGCCATTTCGGCACACCCCTCACGAGGATCGTGGCCCCATAGGGAGCTCCACCGAAGGCGCCAGTGGCAGGGTTCGCATGGCGGCCTCGGGCCATTTCGGCACACCCCTCACGAGGATCGTGGCCCCATAGGGAGCTCCACCGAAGGCGCCAGTGGCAGGGTTCGCATGGCGGCCTCGGGCCATTTCGGCACACCCCTCACGAGGATCGTGGCCCCATAGGGAGCTCCACCGAAGGCGCCAGTGGCAGGGTTCGCATGGCGGCCTCGGGCCATTTCGGCACACCCCTCACGAGGATCGTGGCCCCATAGGGAGCTCCACCGAAGGCGCCAGTGGCAGGGTTCGCATGGCGGCCTCGGGCCATTTCGGCACACCCCTCACGAGGATCGTGGCCCCATAGGGAGCTCCACCGAAGGCCCCAGTGGCAGGGTTCGCATGGCGGCCTCGGGCCATTTCGGCTCACGAGGACCGTGGCCCCACTGGAGCTCCACCGAAGGCGCCAGTGGCAGGGTTCGCATGGCGGCCCCGGGCCATAGCGGCACATCCCTCACGAGGATCGTGGCCCCATAGTTGCGCTGCTTCAACAACCGCGCATGGGCGTCGTACTCCGCCTTGTCGACGTGCAACGCCACCTCCTCCCTCATGGCTCTCAAGGCCTTCTCCTGCTTCTGCTCCTCGGTGAGAGGGACGCCGTCCTTGTCGTCGTCGGCGCCCGCGAAGACGGCCACGAACGTGTCCCTGAGCATGTCGGGCTCCGGCGGGAAGCCGTGGCCACATAGGGAGCGCAGGCGAAGATGGCATTCACAATTGCGGCATTCACAACTGCATATGGTTGGGTCCTTCGCCAGGATAATTAGAACAGTTCTTCCAAACAACCCTCCTGGGGAAGAAGGTTATATCAAGATTTTTAGGAAGGTTCTTCCAAAAAGCTGTCCTGGGGAAGGTTTTGGGAAGGTTCTTCCAACAACCCTCCTGAGGAAGGTTTTAGGAAGGTTATTAGCGAGGTTTTTCCAAAGAAAAAACTCCTGAGGATGAGTCGTTGTTCTTTCTCTAAGGAGGCCCAGAGGTCACCGGCTGGACCCCGCCCACCCCAACCCCAGGCTTCGGGATGTCAGGGGCACTTCTGTGAGGATTGTTGGTCAGCGAACGGGTTGTTGGGCAGAGCCGACGGAGGGGTTGCGTTTGTATTCGGCCGATGTGAGTGCGCACATCTCCATGCGCAGGCACAAGTACATGTGCAGATGGCGGGTATATTTGTATTACCTCCTGCGTTTGACGAGCGTTCTTGCCGTATTGAATTCGACCCACGCTTCGAGCTCCGGATAGTCTTCCAATCAACCACACCACCATCGTATCTCGGTGGTCATGATCAGCATCGTCATCATGACCCTTCATCGTGACCATGGCCCACATCATCACCACAGCTGGCGGATCACGTGTTCCATCAGTTTTTTGGCGAGGTCTTGGCGCAGCTGCACAGCACGCAGGACCCGGGCACGTCGGTGAAGGCCAAGGCCGCTGCGTATTTGCAGGCGAAGGCGCGCACGGGGCATCTTGAAGTTCATATCATAACACGTTCACATGTTATTGAGGACCCCTCGCAATGCATCACATCATATTAGTTGTCCTGCTCCAGATCCTTGTAGTCTACCTCCGTCCTCTCGCCCCTCCTCTTGCTCCTTCCCCGTGCCTCCGCCCTCCCAGGATGCTCCCAGACCCGATGACCCAACGACGGCACTGCAGGTGTCTCAATTTTGTCCTCGGTCGTACTGAATGCTTGCGCGCTTGCACTTGCCAATTTAGCGCTACATCCTGGTCTTGTCTGGCCAGTGTTTGTACACCCCAGCGTTGCTCCATACACGATTGATCATGAGTAGTTAAGCTCGCAGTTCTGGCTTACTGCAAAATCAAACCAGGGAGGATAGCAACACGACTGGCATGTTGATGCACATATTGTAAGCGAGCATTGTGATTCAGGCTCAGAAGATGGGCAGCCGCTACTTGGCCGTGATGGCGCAACACGCAGCAGATGATCCTTTCGAAAAAGTGAAAAAGATGATAAAGGATCGCCGTCCACGGAGCTATACCAGGCGAGGTGTTATTGGTATTCCCGCTAATATTGTGCCGGTCGGAACTCACAGCAGGGGCGTAGCTTAGATTTCCAATGGGATTTGGGAGATTCCTTTTGTCACCCTAGATGTGTTTTCAGACGATAGTGTCGCAAGTTTATCGGAGCGACGACCGCGGTTGGAGCGTGCGAATGGAAGTGGGGGCGATATCTTGCTATCTTGCTCCCCTGCGCCTGATGCAACGACACCGTTTCGATTCTCAGAGATTCAGGCAAGGGTGCCATGACATTTGGAGACCGCTTCGAAGACTCATCCCAGTACCGATCTCGCAACTTCCTGCCCCGAGCAGGAGAAGGATCATGATGAGGGGTAGGAGCGGCAAGGGAGCTGGCGATGAAAGAATTAAAACTTGAAAGAAAATGCAAGCGGAATGGGGGGGCGCGAGGAAGAGGAGGAAGAGGCGTTGCTCAACTCATGCGTTGAATGTAATTGTTGACGCTTCGCGAATCCCCACCCGCCCATCCAGAAACGATGCCCAGAGGAATTGCCTCGATCAGGGAAGTGGGCAGCACACAGAGGAAGCCAGTATGAGACATCTTGGGATATCTTGAGCCATCTTGGAGGTCATCTTGGGCTCTCCCAGGCGCTCTTGCAGTCATCTTAATCAGTGCCCCCCCCAAGAGGCCAATATGCGGCCAAAACCTTAGTAGAATCAATGATTTGGCATTCTCGCCGAGGCCTCTTGGAGCATCTTGGGTGCCTCTGGGGGGTCTCTTGGGGCCTCTTGGGGGTCTCTTGGGAGCCTCTTGGGGGCATCCTGGGGGCCTCTTGGGGCTTCCTGGCCACCTCTTGGGGCCCTCTTGGGGCACCCTTGGGAGCCTTTGGGGCCATCTTTGGGCCATCTTGCGTGAGATCGATCACAGGAGGGGAGCCCAACATGGGGCCAAAACCCTAGTACAACCAATGGTTTTGGCTTCCTCGCCGAGGCCGTTTTGGACGCCCCGACGACTCGCGACACCCCCCGTCCAGGTCCAGCGGAGGGGGTAAGGGGAGGGGTACACCCCTCCCCGAAGGGGAAGAAGGAGGGGTGGAAGAGGAAACGCTCTAAACCACCGACGCCCAGAGGGCTGGTGGGAATTCCCCCCATTTGGATACCTACATCCAGTTGCGATGCTGCGCGATTCCGCCACTGCGCTAGGGCGGCCGCCTGGGGAGACGCTTGGGGCTTTGGGGGGGTCTCTTGGGCTCTCTTCGGCTGTAGCTGGCTCTCTGAGGGCCCCTGGGGGGCCGTGTTGAGGCTTCAGCGCCGCTCTGGAGGTTCGTGACCCTCTTTGGGCCACCTTGAGGGGGCATCTTGGAGTCCTTCTGTGCTGCCTTGGGGCCGTTGTAGGGGGCATCCTGGGCCGTCTTGGGGCCCTCGTGGAGGCCTCGTGGGCCGTCTGAACGGTTCGCAGACCCGAAGAGGCGTCAACGCTAAACAGTTGTCCAAAAACAAACGACAACGAAGTAGCGTTGCACATTCGGACTCGTCTCTTGGAGGCCTCTTTGAGCGCCTTGGGGGCCCCTCGGTCCGCCTTGGGGCCATCGCGGCCGTCTTGGAGGCCAAGTTGGGCCGTCGTGGAAGCCAGATTGGATCATGTTGTCAGACTTGGGAGGCCGCCGTGGTCATCTTGGAAACAAGTTGGTTCCATGTTGGGTGGGCGGGCTCCCTTGGGGGGTAGATTCCATGAAACGTCACACTGATGACTTTGAGTTTGGGACATGTTTTGCCAAGAAGGCTAAACACGCATGGGGATGGTCAAACATTGAACACATGATGGGTTCGATGTGCAAGGTGGCCTCGATGCTTGCTGTGCGAGAAGCAAACGTAGTGGACAACGGCAAGGGCCCGACGCACCAACCGTTGCAAGCGCGGTGGCGGATAGCAGATCCGTTGGTCCATGAGTGATTCCCAATTTTATTATGCAGAGGTGGTGGTAAAGCGTGCATATACCGCGTAGGCCACGGAGACAAGTAGCGGTGGGGTAGAGGTAACCAGCGGTCAGCATGTCCCCCAGCTTGTGTTTGGTTATACGTGGTGTTCAGCGTGGTGTTCAGCGTATCCGAGTTTGCCGGTCGCGTTGGATTTCGGGGGACGTAGATGTACGATGTTGGAGAATATTGCCACACCGCCCGGGCCCTGAGAAACAACAGCCGCCATCTTTGTGCAATCACGATTTGTTTACGTCCTCTTTCCGCGAGGATTTGATTGTCAGATTGATGGAGGAGGCTAACGCGGAGGCAGACCACCATGCCTTCTGCTCCACGGAGCTGGCAACGAACAAGCAGACTCGCGACAACAAGGCTGCAGTCTCGTTCCGCGCTTTGCGGCATACTCTCCTGCCACCGTAAAGTTCATGGCGGTTCGGCATTCCCGTGATGAGAGGTGCCTGCCACATCAGGACGTCGCAATAGCTTCCAGTGGATTTCAGTCTGCGCCGAGTCATGTGAAATGCATGAGCACCTGCACGGCGCAGGGTGGCTTCGCCGGTGGCGCACCCACGTGGTCGAGGGGTCGCGGAGTCCTGGGAGCGAGGAGCGTTCACATTTTGCGAGTGACCGTGGCGCTGGGGGGGAGCGAGGGTCCTTCATTCGTTGCGTTACGTGCTGATGTGCATTCAGAAGGTGACATTAGAGTGCCCTGAATTGGCAGCACGCCCCTGTCGGATCCAGGGAGGACCGCGCACTGAGACATGGAGGCAATTTTCGGCAGTACTTCCTAAGCTACTTCAGGCACAAGTCATTGCCCACTGGAACGTTCACACCACCGACATCCATCAAAACCTCAGTGCATCACGGTTGCGCGGTGCCAGACGCGCAGGGACTATATGTGATTGGATACACGCGCTAAGTTGCCACAAGACCCTTGCTTCGCAGCCAGGTGCCTCCAGGTTTGTCAGCGATTCGTTGTGTCAGGATTTGCACCTCATGACCGTTGCCTTCTTCCATGCCGTTCGGGTTCGTTCCCAAGGCCCCTCCTCCGTGCCCTTAGAGATTGCGTGGAGATACCGATTGCGAGAGTTGAGTTCTGACTCGGGCCCACCCTGGCCCAACAGATCCATATTGACCCTGTAGAGCGCTGACCCCCTCGACAAAACCGCCTCGATCACATCTTGCAGACTGCACAGAGACTGCCAGTACAGTGGGGGCCCATGACAAGAAACACCCTGCTTCCCTCCAGGGTGCCCTGGGTTTCTTGGGTTTCGCTGGTTTTGGTATGGAAAGCCTGACGTTCCCACACCAAAAATCAATGGACTTCCTTGGGTCTCAGGGTTGGGTTTCTTGTGGAAGGTTTCTTGTGGAAGGGCCCCTGCTGTATGCCTCGCGAGACGATTCCTCTGATTGGGTTGGGATGGCCCCCTCTATCGGCGCAAGGCGGCGGAGGTGGAGGGCCTGACGGCCTCCGTGGACAAGATGACCGCCGAGGTCGGCGAGCTCGCGTCGGAGGCGCACCGGCGAGCTCGCGGCGCGGCGCAGCCCGTCGCGGTGAGTGTGTCAGTAGCCTTAGGTCGGGCATGTCCCCCTGCAGGAGGATCTTGAACAAAAAATCAAAAATATTCAGAAAATGCCCAAAAAGAATCAACAGATACTCAAAAAATTGTCCCCAGACTATTTGCTAATTCTATTTGAATATTCCTCCTGCAGAGGGACACACCCGACTTAACAGTAGCCGCTCCTTTCGGCCCGTGGGAGTTCGTGGTTCAATTTGTCCGAAGCAGTACGGCAGGTTCGCGCCGCACTGACGCGGCAGCGACGCCAGCTCGGGCGTTCAAGGTTGAACGCCGCCAGTGACCAAGAATCGGCCGATATCGACAGATCTGCGATGTCGGAAAGCCACGATCGTTCAAGATTGATCGAGCCACGCGGTGACAGAAACCAATGTCGACGCCTTTGCGACGTGAAACCGTCGTACGAGGGCTAACCATGAGAAAGGTAGTTGAAATGGCGAAGCGGGGCGGCAGAGGCCATCATGGTGGATTGCCGTCAAAAGTGCGAAGCAGTTGGCCACGGACTGGGCGAAGATGATCATCGAAGGGTGTAGCCAGTCACACGTGGAGCACAGCGCGCAGGAGGTGCAGGGGGAAAGCCGAGGAAGAGCGGGAAGAAAAGTCGGGAGGCGAACGAGGGGGGGAGGTGGGATGAGGGACGGGGAAGAGGGTGGGTAGGCGAGTTGGGTACAATGTGTGGCCTCACTTGCTTTGGTTGCCGGCTAGTCGTGTGCCTTGTGGGTGGTGTTCTAATGTCTGGCGTCCTTTGATGTTTTAAAGTTTGCACCTTCCGATGCCTGAATGGATGTGGCTTCTCGTTGATGGCCTAGTGCCCTGATGGCCAGTGCCCTACGATGACGTAATGGTTACGATGTTTAGTTCTTGCGTTGGTGCCTTCTGGGTGGTGTGGTATGGCTCGTGCCGTATCATTTTCGAAACCGAGAGGGGCTATTCCCCACATGCATAGTGGGGTTCTGGTTTTCTTTCCCTGCCGCGTCGCACCCGCGTTTCTCCTCTTCCTCCTCACCCCTCCTTCCCTCTTCCCTCCACACATCCAGGGGCTGGTGTGATGATTCCCTCTCTTTTTCTGGTTCCCCACATCAGCACAAGCAGACACATGAGCACACAGCAGACACACATCCACAGTCGACATCACAGTCATCACATACATCCACCATACACGCAGCACACAGACACACAGCACACAAACAGCACCCGTACACAATACAAGCACAAACAGACACAGCACGCACACGCAGCAAACAGGCAAACAGCACACAGACGTGCAGGGGGTGGTCTCTCACCGCGGTTCTCTATCCGTCTCAGGGTCGCGGGGCGTGGCAGGCGTGGCACTTTCTCGACGCCAGAGAGGGTGCGCAGGGGGTGGTCTCTCACTGGTCTCTCTATCCGTCTCAGGGTCGCGGGGCGTGGCAGGCGTGGCACTTTCTCGACACCAGAGAGGGTGCGCAGGGGGTGGTCTCTCATTGGTCTCTCTATCCGTCTCAGGGTCGCGGGGCGTGGCAGGCGTGGCACTTTCTCGACACCAGAGAGGGTGCGCAGGGGGTGGTCTCTCACTGGTCTCTCTATCCGTCTCAGGGTCGCGGGGCGTGGCAGGCGTGGCACTTTCTCGACACCAGAGAGGGTGCGCTGGGGGTGGTCTCTCACTGGTCTCTCTGTCTCAGGGTCGCGGGGCGTGGCAGGCGTGGCACTTTCTCGACACCAGAGAGGGTGCGCAGGGGGTGGTCTCTCACTGGTCTCTCTATCCGTCTCAGGGTCGCGGGGCGTGGCAGGCGTGGCACTTTCTCGACACCAGAGAGGGTGCGCAGGGGGTGGTCTCTCACTGGTCTCTCTATCCGTCTCAGGGTCGCGGGGCGTGGCAGGCGTGGCACTTTCTCGACACCAGAGAGGGTGCGCAGGGGGTGGTCTCTCACTGGTCTCTCTATCCGTCTCAGGGTCGCGGGGCGTGGCAGGCGTGGCACTTTCTCGACACCAGAGAGGGTGCGCAGGGGGTGGTCTCTCACTGGTCTCTCTATCCGTCTCAGGGTCGCGGGGCGTGGCAGGCGTGGCACTTTCTCGACACCAGAGAGGGTGCGCAGGGGGTGGTCTCTCACTGGTCTCTCTATCCGTCTCAGGGTCGCGGGGCGTGGCAGGTGGCGTGCGCACTGGTCTCGTCTCAGGGTCGCGGGGCGTGGCAGGCGTGCACCTCGCCACCAGAGAGGGTGCGCTGGGGGTGGTCTCTCACTGGTCTCTCTATCCGTTTCAGGGTCGCGGGGCGTGGCAGGCGTGGCACTTTCTCGACACCAGAGTGGGTGCGCTGGGGGTGGTCTCTCATTGGTCTCTCTATCCGTCTCAGGGTCGCGGGGCGTGGCAGGCGTGGCACTTTCTCGACACCAGAGAGGGTGCGCTGGGGGTGGTCTCTCACTGGTCTCTCTATCCGTCTCAGGGTCGCGGGGCGTGGCAGGCGTGGCACTTTCTCGACGCCAGAGAGGGTGCGCAGGGGGTGGTCTCTCATGGTCTCTCTATCCGTCTCAGGGTCGCGGGGGTGGAGGCGTTGCACTTTTCGACACAGAGAGGGTGCGCAGGGTGTGGTTCTCTCACAGGTGCTCTATCCGTCTCAGGGTCGCGGGGCGTGGCAGGCGTGGCACTTTCTCGCCACCAGAGTGGGTGCGCATGGGGTGCTCCCCACTGGGGGTGGTCTCTCACTGGTCTCTCTATCCGTCTCAGGGTCGCGGGGCGTGGCAGGCGTGGCACTTTCTCGACACCAGAGAGGGTGCGCAGAGGATGGTCTCTCACTGGTCTCTCTATCCGTCTCAGGGTCGCGGGGCGTGGCAGGCGTGGCACTTTCTCGACACCAGAGAGGGTGCGCAAGGGGTGGTCTCCCACTGGTCTCTCTATCCGTCTCAGGGTCGCGGGGCGTGGCAGGCGTGGCACTTTCTCGACACCAGAGAGGGTGCGCAAGGGGTGGTCTCAAACTGGTCTCTCTATCCGTCTCAGGGTCGCGGGGCGTGGCAGGCGTGGCACTTTCTCGACACCAGAGAGGGTGCGCAGGGGGTGGTTTCTCATTGGTTCTATATAGTCTCAGGGTCGCGGGGCGTATTATTTAGGCAGGCGTTGCACTTTCTCGACACCAGAGGAGGGTGCGCGGAGGGTGTTTCTTCATTGGTCTCTCTATCCGTCTCTGGGTCGCGGGCGCGTGGAGGCGGTTGGCACTTTTCGACGCCTGAGGAGGGGTGCGCAGGGGGTGGCTCTTCCCATGGATCTCTTAATCGTCTCAGGGTCACGGGGGCGTGGCGGCGTGGCACTCTCTCGACACCGAGGAGGGGTGCGCAGGGGTGGTCCTCTCACTGGCTTTATCTGGCCCTCAGGGTCGCGGGGCGGGCAGGCGTGGCACTGTCTCGACGCCAGTGAGGGTGCGAGGGGTAGTTTCTAATGGTCTCTCCTATCTGTCTCAGGGTCGTGGGGCTGTTGGCTGGCGTGGCACTTTCTCGACACCAGAGGGGGTGCGCAGTCAGGGGTCTCCCTATGCTTGGGTCTTTTCTATCCGTCTCAGGGTCGCGGGGCGTGGCAGGCGTGGCACTTTCTCGACACCAGAGAGGGTGCGCAGGGGGTGGTCTCTCACTGGTCGCTCTATCTGTCTCAGGGCCGCGGGGCGTGGCAGGCGTGGCATTTTCTCGACACCAGAGAGGGTGCGCGGAGGGTCGTTTCTCATTGGTCTCTCTATCCGTCTCAGGGTCGCGGGGCGTGGCAGGCGTGGCACTTTCTCGCCACCAGAGAGGGTGCGCAGGGGGTGGTCTCTCACTGGTCTCTATATGTCCCAGGGTCGCGGGGCGTGGCAGGCGTGGCATGTTCTCCACTCCACAGGGGGTGCGCAGGGGGTGGTCCGTCACCGCGGATTCTATCCGTCCCAGGGTCGCGGGGCGTGGCAGGCGTGGCATTTTCTCCGCGCCACGGGGGGTGCGTAGGGGGCAGGTATCGCGGGTGCATTCCATCAGTTGTTTTTGCGTGGGTTTGCGCAGTATCCAGATCAATAAGTACTCTGGCTCAAACCAGCTCGGAGCGCCAGGGTACCTAATCGAAGGCCGCAGTTGGTTGTTGCGCAGGCGCGCTAGCCATGCCGCCTAAAATTGCCATGGACGAGCTGCCGCCTCCGTGCTCGTCGCTGAAGAAAGACATGATTCAGAATGGCGGCGAGGTAAGCTTGGCAGGCTTACGCTGTTGCTCTGAAGCGACGGCGGTCCCCGCATTTCACGCGCACCGCCGCCAGCTGAAAAATTTGTGGCCCAATACCTTGCACGTCCAGGGCACAGCGGTATCGGCGGGGCAACGGCCACCAACATCATTCTCACATGCTTCACTTCAGCTCTCATCACTCCAGCCATAATATAAGTATGCGGTAGCGTAATGAATTACCATTGATATGTGTGGTTCTTGGCCGGACGCATTATTGAAAGTGTTATCGAAGACGCTTACGGCGAACCACCGCCGCCCCCTGCCTTTTTGGAAGCGCCTGCGTGGCCAAAAGTTGGGCTAGAGCTCTGCCAAGCTATCGGGCCATGCGTTCCCCCAGCCGTCGTCGAAACCCTTACCTTAGGGGAATTTTTGGGGGGGTATGGCGGGGAAGATGACGAGGGGGAGGAGGAGGAGGAGGAGGAGGAGGAGGAGGAGGAGGAGGAGGAGGAGGAGGAGGAGGAGGAGGAGGAGGAGGAGGAGGGGGGGGGATTGCAGATTGGGAGCCTCTGGGGGCACCTTGAGGCCTCCTGGGGGCTTACTGGGATGCCTCGCTGAGGCCACCTTGACGGCTACTTGAGGCTCTGGAGGGCCGTATGGGGCGTCTCAGGGGCCTTGTTTTTTTTTTTTGTTTTTCTTTTCTCCTGTCCTTTCTTTCTCTTTTCTCCTTTCTTTGGCAGTCTCAGGGCGTTTCTAGTCCGTCTGGCGCCGTGGGAAGCCGTTTTGGGGGCC